ATTTCTCACAGGCAGCCCTCCAAATGCCTGTGAAATGTTAATGGCAGAAGACAACTGGCAAAACATCACCACCTGTAACCTTAAAGCAGATGCCGTTTTAGATGTTCCTGTATTGTTTAATAAACTGAGCTACAGTTATATTACAGTCGGGGTGAAGCCAAATGATATAAGATCACCTCAGCGACTTGCTTTAATGGACAAAACAATGAGATGTTCTGATCTCCTCAATATAACTTCCTGATATGTACTCACACCATGCAACGCTTTGGGTCTGGACAATTTATTTAAATTTATGAAAATAATCCATGAAAATTGATCCCATGTCCTAATGGTGTATAATACCATATAATTGTATAATGTTGTATAATGTCACAATTATAATATTTTAAAACTTTTCTTTAATATTAAGCTGAAAACTTAGAAAAACTTCCAACATTTAGTGGAGAGGATTTTTTTTAAGAATAAACACAAAAAATTAGCACAGCAGATACATTTTTAAAATCTAATCATGGGATGTAGGCATTGCTGGCATGGCCAGCATTTATTGCCCATTGCTCCTGATAAGGTGGTGGTGAGCTGCCTTCTTGAATGCTACAGTCCATGTGTTGTAGGTACACCTATAAAGTCATTAGGGAAGGGTTTCCAGGATTTTCCCAATGGACAAATCCAATCTGGCCAATTATGAATGCAAGAAAGCAGAGCAATCAAAAGTGCATTTGTAATTCTGGTTAAGGTATAGGTTATTAGAGATACAGTGGTAAACATTTAAGGGGCTATTCCACAAGGAGCAAAATAGATAATTCCACTAAAGAAGAAATCATCTAAGGGACAGAGCCACCATCTGTGGTTAACTAAAAAAGTAAAAAATAGTATCAAACTCAAAAATAAAGAAATTTAATTGTGCAAAGATAGGTGACAGTTCAGAAGATTCAGCAGAATATAAAAAGCAGCAAATAATTACTGTAAGATTGATAAGTATATGAGAGGAAGTTAGACAAAAATATAAAAACAGATAAAAAAAGTTTCCTTATATATTTAAAAATCAGTGAACAAAGTCAGAGTTTTTCCGATAGAAAATGAGTGTGGGAAATCACTAATAGATGATAAAAAGATGGCAAATGAATTAAACAGATATTTTATGTCAGTCTTTACAACAGAGGATATAAGTAACATCAGAGATAGCTGTAAATCAAAAATTGAAAGGGAGGGAGGAACTCAGGAAAATTACAATTACAAGGGAAGTAGTACTGAGAAAATTGTTGGAACTGCGAATTGACAAGTCCCCAGGTCCTGATGGATTTTATCCTAAAGTATTAAAAGAAAGATTGCGAGATACTTGAAGTGTTGATTTTAATTTTCAAAAACTCATTAGATTTAGGAAAGATTCTTTTAGATTGGAAAATAGCTAATGAGGGAGGGAGACAGAAAGCAGGAAACTACAGGGCAGTTTGCTTATAACATCCGTCACGGGGAAAATGTTAGATGCTATTATTCAAGTTGTTGGATAAGTTCAAGGTAATGAAAATGGTTTTGTAAAAGGGAAATCATGTTCAATTAATCTGTTGGAAGTCTTTGATGCAGTAACTTGTGTTGTAGATAAAGGCATGCATAATGGATGTATTGTATTTATATTTCAAGAAGGCATTTGATCAGGTGCCACAGCAAAGGTTATTGCAGAAAATAAAAGCTCATGGAATAGAGGATATAAAATAAGGCATGGACAGACAACTGGTTAGCTAATAGGAAGCAGAGAGTAGGAATAAGTGGGTCTTTTTCAGGCTTGCCAGATAGATGTCACAAGCAGTGTGCATAAGGTAGGGGCTGAGGCCTCAACAATTTGCAATTTATGTAAATGACTTTGATGAAGGGACTGAAAGTATGATTGCTAAATTTCTGATGACACAAAGATAGGGAGGAAAGCATTGTAAAGAGAACATGCATAAGGAGCCTACAAAGGGATATATACATAGGTTGTGAGTGGACAAAGATCTGGCAAATGGAGGACAATGTAGGAAAGTGTGAAATTGACCATTTTGGCGAAAGACCAAAAATGAGCTATATTATCTCAATGGTGAGAGATTGCAGAGCTCTGAGAGGCAGAGAGATCTCGATGTCCTAATGCATGAATTACAGAAGGTTAGTATGCAGGCACAGAAAGTAATCAGGAAAGCTAATACAATGTTATGGCTTATTGCGAGGTGAATTGAATGCAAGAGCAGGGAGGTTATGCTTCAATTATACAGGGCATTGGAGAGATAGCATCTGGAGGGGCTATGGAACGGATGTTTCCTCTTGTGGGAGAATCTAGAACTAAGGATCATTAAAAATAAGGGAGCATCATTTTAAGACAAATTTGAGGGAAACCTTTTCTCTTGAGGGTTGTGATTTTTGGAATTCCTTTCCTCAAAAGCCAGTGGATGCGGAATCTTTAAATATTTTTAAGGCAGAGGTAGATAGATTCTTGATTATCAAGCAGATGCAAGATTATTGGGGATATGCAGGAAAGTAGAGTTGAAGTTAAAATCAGATCAGCTATTGAATGGCGAGGCAAGTTTGAAGGGCCAAGTGGTCTACTCTTGTTCTTTATTCATAGGCTTGTATGTATGCGCCCCATTACTGGGAATGGAGATGTTTGTTGAGTCTCCTCTCCCTCCTTCAATGAGTTATTTAATTGTTCACCAACATTCATGATTATATATGATAACATTATAGAACTTAGATCTGATGGTTGTTGAATCGCTTCACTCTGTCACTTGCTGCTTGTGATGTTTGTCACACAAGTTGTCTTGTTTTGGAACTTCACCAGACGTACACCTCATTTTCAGGTATGCCTGGTGCTGCTCCTGGCTTTCCCTCCTGCACTATCCATTGAACCAGGGTGGATTCCCTGGTTTGATAGTATTGGTTGTGGGGGCATATGCTAGGCCAAGAGGTTGCAGATAGTGCTGGAGTCCAATTCTGCTGCAGTTGATGGCCCATAGTGCTGCACAGAAGACCAATCTTGAGCTGCTCGATCTGTTCAAAGTCTATCACACTTATCACAGTGATAGTGCCACAGTATGAAAACTGAACTTTGTTGTCACTCATACTAATATGGTCATACACAGGTGCATCTGCAACAGGCAGATTGATGAAGGCAAAGTGAGGAATGTTTTTCCCTTTTGTCAGTTCGCTCATCACCTGCTGCAGACACAATTTAGGATTTCTTTGAAATCACAAGCTTTCGGTGAAGTGACCTTCTGCTCTTGTCCACCCCTGTCCAACACCAGCACCTCCACATCACATTTAGCAGAGTTGCTGAGCCAGTCTTGGTGATGGACACTGAAATTCCCTACTATTTTCTTCGCCCTTGCTATCCATAGTGTTTCCTCCAAGTGCTGTTCAGCATGGAAAAGGCTGATTCATCAGGTGAGGTGTGTGTGTCTGTATGTGTGTGTGTGTATGTGAGGGTGTGGTGGTGTGGTATGTGGTGATCAGCTGGAGGTTTACTCGTCCATGTTTGACTGATGCCATGATACATCATGGGATCTAGAGTCAATGGTGAGGACTAAAGTGAAGACTACTATAGGAGACTACCAAGCAGTGTAATTTTATAGAGTGCGTGAATATACAGTATGTATTACTGCTCTGAGAGTAGTAACTGCAGAGTACTATTTACATCTAACCCTATCAGGTTTAAGTTGCAGGCTAGGAACCAGCTTACTGCTTTTGACCGGGCTCAGTGCTACCTTTGTGGAGTTTTACAGAGCATGACTCTCAGATGAAAGTCTTAAAAGAACTGTGAGCACAGTGGAAGTGTGTGCATTCTCAAAGCATGTGAAAGCTGATGGAGATTAAGTTTTCAAAGTTTCTAGGAGGCACACGAACTCTGGTGAGCTTTTTTAACCTGGGACTATGCAGCTCCCTTGCGAATTATCATTCCATGGTCTCTTCCTGCTGTGTTCTAGGAACTGCTCATCCCAGGATTGATGTGGAGGTGCCGGTGTTGCACTGGGGTGGACAAAGTCGGAAATCACACAACACCAGGTTATAGACCAACAGGTTTATTTGAAATCACAAGCTTTCGGAGCGCTGCTCCTTCATCAGGTGAAGTCTTCAGGTGAAGGAGCAGCACTCCAAAATTTTTTGATTTCAAATAAACCTGTTAGACTATATATGGTGTTGTGTGACTTCTGACATTCCAGGATTGTTATAGCTGGGCTAACCTGTTCCACCAATCAGTTAAGTCACATTTCATCTTTATCTTAACTCCATTTACCTGCATAAATTTAATCTCCCTCAATACCCTCGACCAACAAAAATCTGACAACCTCAGTTTTGAAATGATCAATTAACCTAGCATTGAGAGTTCTTCCAATGGAAAGAATTTCTGATTTCCAATGCCCTTTGTATTAAGAAATGTTACCTGGCAGTACCCCCTGAAATGGCTTAATTCTTATTTTATGGTCGTTGCCTTTGATTTCTGTTATCATCTTCATATACGGGAAATAATTTATTTCTGTCTGTTACCTTAAATCCTTCAAATCATCTTAAACGCCTCAGATCACCCTCAACATTGGATAATTACTGGAATATAACCTTGGTCTATGCAACTTGTTCTCGTCAATTAAGCTTTACAGCCCCAATGGTGAGGACTAAAATGAAGACCACACTAGGAACCTCCAAAGCAGTCTAGTTTTATGTAGCGTGTGAATATACAGACTGTGCTACTAGTTTAATAACTGCAGAGTGCCGTTTACATTTAAGCCTAGCTAGGAGCCGGCTCACTAGTTTCTGATGAACCTGTACTGCTCTCCTTTAGAGCAGGTTGGGGCCTCACCTTGTATTTCGTTGTTTTTTGCAAAATAGAAAGCTGCAGAAGCTGGAATTCTAAGGCAAAAGTAAAAAAAAATGCTGGAAACACTCAACAGGTCGGTCAATGGAGTGTTTCCCATCCCTGGCCAGCAAACGCCCACAGGTGGAAGCTGTTGCTGTGGGTCACGCCTGGGACTGGCACCTACCTGTCCTAGTGAGTCTATCGAGCCTCTCGACACTGGCCGAGGAGAGGCGGCGGTTCCGGGGGCTGCTGACTGGTGTGGCCGGGTTGGAGAACTCCGAGTCCAGCTCGGTGACCGCATCGTCCCGGAACAGCAGCAACTCTTTGGCGCATTTGTGGCAGACACTGTGCTGGCAGGGAAGGATCAGGGGGTGAGTGAAGAGCTCCTTACAGCACGGGCAGATCAATTCCCGCTCTATGTTCTTAATGGGAACCTGCAAGAAAAGGGACGAGGAGACAATTATCCAAGCCCTGCGCTGCTTCTAAACAACCAAACTCCAGGCATTCTCATATGAAAACCTGCTAAAAGCTCCGGGCGTTTATTTACACAGGTCAACACTCACGTCAATTCTTTAATATATAGAAACGTTTCTTTTAAAACAAATGTGAATCATATATAACAGTAATAAGCAAGACATTGAGAAATGATCCAATCTGCGCTGAGCATGACGGCAAGAGGAAACAGTTACAAATATTTCCCATTATCAAGTGCTGAAGGAGTGAAAAGTGATCAATATGTGGCTGCTGGGTGGAGAGCAGGGCGATGAGAAACTAATCCCACTCAGAGCGAGTTTGTTCAATACAGAGACAGATAGTCTCGGAGTCCGGTTTGTGAGTCTATGTGTCTGAACGAGATTAGTCTGATTTGTGTCTGCGTGTGTGTATGTGCGTGAGTGTATGTGCTTGGGTTTCAGTGTGTATGTGTGATGTATCCGCCTTTGTGTCTGTGTGGTGGTGTCTATGTGTGTAAGTGTGTGTGTGTCTTTGTGTGTCTGTGAGTTTGTGTGTGGTGTGCGGTGTTTCGGTGTAATTGTGTGGTGTCTATGAGTAAGTGTGCATGCGTAAGTGTGTATAGTGTCTGTATGTGTGTATTTGTGTAAATGTGTGTCTGTGTGTGTGTTGTCGGTTCTGTAAACGTTTTACCATACTCCACTGCCGGAAGTTACTACTGGTATATTTACGCGTTTTAACCGACACGGTTCACACAGTTACTGGACCTGTCACAGCGGCGTGATGGAAATGGGAAGGACCCCGGATCCGATTAGCAAGCAATCTTATCAGAAGGGAAAACTGAGCTGAAGGAAAGTTGGCCATGGAACCGTTGGAAACTGTGAACATAAAGCTGTAGTCAGTAATACAAGCGCCTGTCTTAGGATCGGCTCGATGTGACAGATCAGAGGGTTCAGATCAAGTTCTGCACTGATGGTGGAAGTAACTGGGATGAGATGAAATGCAGAGGCTAACGGGGATTACCCCATAGATAGACTGTGGTTACAGAGCTGGTGCAGGGAGGTGTGTACACACAGTCCGGTGGGACTAAAGCGGACATGAGAAAGGAACTCATTCAGGCAACAGCCGCCAGAGAGGAGCAGCTCAGAGCCAGACTGTGTGTGTGTGTTTGTGTCTGTGTGTGTGAGAGAGAGAGAGAGAGAGAGAAAGCTGGGACCAGCGCCTCGCAGATTGAAGGAGACAGACGGGGGATAATTGACTGTGTTCACTACAAACAGGTTTGGATGGAGTAAAGCTGTCGCTTGTCCTGCTGTTATACCACCTACCTCGCCTCTGGAGATCCTGTCAACGATGAATCCAAACTCACTGATATCATCAGAATCGGACATGCTGCTTGGTTAAAGGCACTTTCCTGGAAAGAAGCCAGTCGGAGATGAAGTCAGTGGAGTCGGGGAACAGTCAGGTTGCTGAGCTCCGAGCACCTACTGAAACCGCCCTGAAATCCTTAGCTCGGCCTCAACTCCAGCACTTTCCTGAATGTAAAACCCCGCCCCAGGGTGACCGCCGAGGGCGGGGTGTGGAGATATTCCCGAACCAACCGGCGGAATGACGGCTAACATCCGCTGCTCACTCACTCGCTAACACTTGTGCTAACAGATGGCAGCATTAGACTAATGGGTTTAGCACAAAGCTCTGTCTCTCAAGGCTTTCAGGGGAACCATCAGCAGTGCTCCGCACCTCTGGTCACCTTCAAATGGACTGAAAGTCATTAAAACCACAGTTTCAGGACCACTGGAAATTTCATGCCCTGGGTTCAGGACCGCAGATAGCACCAGGAACGGATGTAACTCGCAGTGGGTTTTCAGAATATTACAACAGGAAGTATTCAAATGGAATGGAGCTCTCTCCCTTTCCCAGCGGGGTTAAACAGTGGATAGAGTGCAGGCAGTATCTCGGTGTGAAAGCTTGCAGCCAAGGTGGGCTGCTCAAAGTCAGACACATTGAGTAGGAGACCGACAGGAAGACAATGTATCTTTGTGAGAGGTTTAGTTACAGTCTACCAGGGCCAGGTTGAGACGGTTTAGCGATTCGCTGATCCGTTCATTTCCAGCCGCTGAGCTGTGTATCTCAGCGGCACAGCCTCGCCCAGATCTCTCACAGCACGGCCCTGGAACACCGCGAAATCCACCTCCACCCCTCCCCACAGAGAAAGGAAACCCCCACCCACTGCGAGAGCGCCGCTGTTACCCGAACCCTCCCCCCACCCTCAGAGACAGGATTACCTCCCCACCCCCATAGACACGATTAACACCCCACCCTCAGAGCCAGGATTAACCGCCCCCCACCCTCAGAGACAGGATTACCTCCCCACCCCCACAGACACGATTAACCCCCCCCGCCTCCCGCCAGCGCGTACCCCTCCCCCCCCGCCGGCTCATTAAAATATCCCCCGCACCCGCCCCACCACC